GGTCACCACACAATCAGAATATGGCCCACATGACTGGAGTCCCATCCACTGTGTGACGCTGAGTCTCTGGGCCAGGAGCTGGAAGAACCTGTGGGCAGGGCAGGACCAGGACAGCATGCCTGGGTATGTGGACCCAGAGGAGGGCAGTGACCAGGGTGGCCTGGGGCTGCACAGGGGTCTACCCTGAGCTTTCAAAACAAGGTTGCAGGCTGGGCGGCCACCAGTCCCTCATGGCCCCATGGCCGTGGGTCACAGCTATCTGCACTATCAACAGGATTCCAGACTTCCCCGGAGTTGCCCTGAGCCAAGGATGGGGTCCTGTCAGCACCCAGCGGATCCAAGCCCCAGGGGAGAGGTGAGCTCAGTGCAGGTGATGGTGCAGCTGGGCTGATGGAAGCCCATGGGCTCAAATCTGGGGCTACCACTGAGGAGCCTGCAGCCCCAGTGCCCTCCCCGACGCCCTCCCCGATGCCCTCCCCGATGCCCTCACAGTACCATCCTCCACACCATCCCCATGCCTGAGCTCCCCAGTGCCCTCCCCGACGCCCTCCCTGATGCCCTCCCTGATGCCCTCACAGTACCATCCTCCACACCATCCCCATGCCTGAGCTCCCCAGTGCCCTCCCCGACGCCCTCCCCGATGCCCTCCCCGATGCCCTCCGCAGTACCATCCTCCACACCATCCCCAAGTCTGCGCTGCCTGATGCCCTCCCCACGCCCTCCCCGATGCCCCTCACATTACCATCCTCCATAGCATCCCCACGCCTGTGCTGCCTGATGCCCTCCCCGATGCCCTCCCCATGCCCTCTCGGATGTTCAGACCCTGGTTTGCCTGACTTCTGATTTCCACCACGATTAATGGCTGTCCCTGCCTTGTCTCGGCATTGGAATTGGTTCCTCTGGCCCCAGCTGCATAAACAGGCCCAGCCCTGATCACCCAGGGAAGGGCTGGCCGAGGCGATGGCATGACCAGGAAGCCAGGGAGGGGCCCAAGTGGAAAAACAAGGTGAGGGCCAGCGGCGGCGCTGAGGTAAGGGCCAGGGACTGTTCAGTGCAGGGTCACGGGGAAAGAGGGCAGCCCCTCCCCGCCCCGTCCTGCCCAGGCTGCCAGACACCTTTGGTGGGATTCCAGCCCCACCTCTCGTCCCCCTCGGCTGCCCTCTCACATGTGGTGTTCTGGTCCCCTGTGCTCAGGAAGACTCTCTGAGACCATGTCTGCTCTACTGCCTGGCACGTGGTGGCAGCTGCAATCCCCAACCTCACACCCATCCTGGCACTGGGCAGACACCCTAGGGAGACTAGTCACAGCCCATTTCAAAGACAAGCAAACTGAGGGCCACTAGGGGCATTCATACCTTCGGGACCCCAACAGGGCAGCTCCCAGGAGAAGACCCCCAGCTGGCTGCATCCCAGACCCCACGGCTCTGGCCCTTCCTGGTACTCCCGTTTGTATGTCAGGATTGCCACCAGCCCTCTGGCAAGACCATCTGATCCTGCCCAAGAACCCTGTACCCAGCAGGAGGCTCATAAATGCTTCCCGGACTGAGGGGGTCATGAGCTAAGGTCAGCAGGGGAAAGAGGTGGCCCCAAGCAAGAAGAGGAAAACCCACAGACAGCAGCCTGTGGGGCCATCACTGCTGCTGCACCCCGGAGCCCCCAGAACCATCATTTGTGCTGCCTAGGAGGACTGCAGTGTGGCACGGAGGGAAGCTGGTGACTCCAGCACCCCTGCACCCCCGGGGCCAGGACGGGCCCCACAGCCCATGCCCTGTCATCCCAGCAGGCACTCCCCAGTTCCTGCACCTGGCTGCATGCCATTGGGGTAATGCGTCAGGGCAATGCTGTCAAGGCAGAGGCTGTGGCCGAAACATCCTGCCCCTAGGAGGGAAGATACAGCAGGCAGAGAGCCTGCCTCGGCATCCCCAACACGAGGCCTGAGTCCCAGCTAAGGACCAGGGTCGGGGCTCACACAGCCACGAGGAGTCAGGGAGCGGCACGGTGACCTCAGCACCCGTGTGACCCCGAAGCACAGGTTTCCAGAGCCCTGGGACACCTCCCACCCTTCCCCACCCACAGCAGCCCAGGCCACAAAGCCAGTGCTCTCCCCTGTCTCCCAGCTAGCAGGGTTGTGATGGGTAATCACATGTGTCAATGTGACAGGGCCACAGGGTGCCCAGACATCTGGTCAAACGTGACTCTGGGCAGGGGTGAGGCTGCTTCCAGGGGAGATCAACCCTGGAATCAGTGAGCTGAGTCCAGCAAGGTTGCCCCCATGTGGGTGACCCTGTCTAATAGGCTAGAGGCCTGCATAGAACTAGAAGGTGAGGCGAGGGACAGTTCACTGTCTGCTGACCACTGAGCTAGGACATCTGTCTTCCCCCTTTGGATAGGACTGGAACTCAGCATCAGCACTCCTGGGTCTCCAGCTTGGCAAGTGCACATCGAGGGGCTTCCTAGCATCCATAACTGCATGAATCAATGACTTATAATAAACACGCACACACATGTGCACACACATATGCATATGCACACACATGCACAAGCACATACACACATGCATATACACACATGCACCCATGCACGCATGCACACATGCACAAGCACACACACATATGGATATACACACATGTGCACATGCACATGCACACATATGCACATGCACACATGCACACACGTGCACACACATGCACACATATGGATACATGCACATGTGCACACACATGCACACATATGCATATGCACACACATGCACAAGCACATGCACACACACACATGCACACATGCACTAACAGGCTCTATTGGTATTCTCCAGGAAGCCCCTGCCAACCTTGCAGCCACCCCTGAGACGGGCTGCACCTGGCCTCTTCTGTGTCCTCTGTATTATTAAAGAAAGGACAGAGGCAGACTGGTGAGGAGAGACTTTCATTCAAGAGGGTTTCTGCAGGGGGGCCGGCTGTTGCCACAGGGAAGGACGATCCGGTGGAAGAATGCCCCTGCCTCACCACAGGGCTGCAAGCTTCTCCAGGGGAAAGCAAAAGGGCTTCTCTTTTAGAGAGAGGCATCCGCAGAGCTGGGAGGAGGAGGCGTGGGGAAGCAGGTGTCAGCCTGCAGGACGGAGAGATCAGAGCCGAGCGAGGCTGGCCCTGGGCTCCTGTTCTCAGGAGGTCATCTGCTGACTCAGGCGATGGCGGTCAAGGTTCAGGGCCCAAAAGGAGCAGGGAGCTGAACTGAGGCTGAGTGACAAGCCTTTCCTTCCAGTGAGCAGCCAGTCCCTCAGGAGGCCATACACAAGAACTCGGAGGGCATGTGTTAGGCCCAGCCTGGAAACAAGGAGCCCCTGGGTGCTTTTGTGAGTCTGGAGGTCAAGGTGGCTCCCTGCTGCACAAGCTGCTTTCCGGAACACCAGAGGGGAGCAGGGGGTTTCTTAACCATCAGGTAAAATCAACACCATCATAGTGAGAATCCCTGCTGGGTGTCTCCTCAGGGCCTCACAGGACAGGCCCGGGGGCCACACTGGGGACTCTGGAAGAAGGTGACAATGATGCAGCTGGGAGCGACCATCATGCAGAAAGCGGCTTGGAGCCCGGCGTAGGGTCAAGGCAAGGTCCACGACACGACGGCTCAACCCCAGCCCCACAGACAGTGTGGAAAGGTGGGGTCAGAGGGCCAGATGTGGAGGGGATTTCTGCGGTGTGACCTGGCTGTGAGAGCCTCCCCAGCCGAGGGGGAAGAGGACCGGCTTCTCTTTCACTTCTGGGCAATGAGGATCTTGGAGGGGACCCCCGAGGCGGGGCGGGGCTGGAGGCTGGGAAGCCACTGCCTGGGAATGGGGCCAAGCTCGGAAGCTGTTCTAGGGCCGCCAGGGAGCTCCCACACCAGCACATATCGGCCAGACCCCGGCAGCTGGCAGGGTGAGCATCTCTGGCTCATCTCCCGTGTTTCCCATGGGTGCTCATTCACACCTTGGTGCATAAAGCCACACATCCTGAGCACCCTCCATGCGCACCCAGACCAGGCGATGACTCAGCCACCATGGCCTGCAGCAGAGGGACCGTGGCGGGGGACGGCCAGCTGCCACAAGCTCCACTTGTGGACATCCCCTCCCAGGGCCCAGCGGGACCCACAGGGGACACCCTAGGGAAGGGTCACCCACCTCCCACCACTCTACCCACCTCAGGGCTAACACCCTGGATTCTAGGCTTGCTCTGCAGGGGTTCTGGGCTGAACTGTGTCGCCCAAAACTCCTGTGTGAAATCAGCCCTGCCCATCCTCAACGATGGGCCTTGGCCCCCCGGACCTGTGGGAGAGCTCACTTCTGTTGTTTTGGGCCCCTGAGTGTATGGTCTTTGTTATGGCAGCCCTGGCAGACTCATACACGGGGGAAGGATCTCCAGAAAGGTCTCCCACGCCCTGCTTAGAGTCCCATAGATGCGCTTGTACCACGGCACTCACTCCTGCTCTCTCCACAGTGCTGAAGGATGAGCAGACACCCATCACCTGCCTGTCCAGGGCAGGGCCAGGCTTGCCGTCTGGGGCCACGGTAGAAGTGTGATGTGAAGTTTCCAAATGGCATTCTGCCAATTAGCATCCGTGCCTGTGTGCGGATGCACACAGAAGGAAGTCCAGAGCCTGAGCTAGAAAGCCTGAGAGCCCTGGGCCCGCATCACCCCCAAATCCCCGACTCCTCATAGCTCCCACTGCGTGCTGCCCATCCCAGAGCATGCAATGCCTGTGAATGCTCCTCTTCCTGAACTGGCCCCCAGCCACTCCCTTTCTGCTCTTGGGCTGAGCTGAGCTCGGAGATGAGCAGGCTGCTGTTGGGGCAGGGGATGGAAGCGCAGCCTGCCTGGAGGGCTCACAGCCCAGCCCACACAGGTGACAGCCGGGACTGCAGGAATGGGGAGGCAGGGTACAACAGCTTCCGGAGACCAGCAGCATCCAACAGGGGCACATCCGTGCCTCTCTGTGCACTGGTGTGCTTCTGAAACTCTGGGAAGTCGTGACTGACTGCATATTTATTATCAGCATTATTTAAATTCTGGTGCATTTTTCTGAGATAATGTAATAAACATTTCCTGGGTGCTAGCTACACTTGGCGCTTATGACCCTCACACTGACCTCATGAGGGAGAATCTGCCATTTGCCCCATTTTACAGATGAGAAAACAGAAGCTCAGAAAGATTAAGTCGGCTTCCCAAGGTCACACGGCTCATGGGAGGCAGAGCTGGGACTTGAGCCCATCTGGGATCACAGTTTGTGCTGTTAACCACGACTCTCCCCCAGGCTGATGCTGGGCTGGGGGTGTGACTGGGGCCACCCAGGCCCACAGGGTGTGCACTCAATCTGAGTGGACTCGGGAACAAAGGGAGGTAGGGAAGAATTCGCTCCTGTGAACACACACTGCCTGCTTCCCTCCCCTCAGCATCCCACAGAGCCTGGGTGCTTCTCTCCCAGGAAACAGATCTTGCCCCGAGGTTCCATGCCCTGTCTGCACAGCCGTGGTGCACACGTGCACACTCACACACAGCACACGTGTGTCAGCAGCAGCCAACCCAGCCCATGCAGGCGGCAACGGACACAGCGGCTGAGCTCGTCTCACAGACCCACACTGTTCAGGGTGGAAAATGAGGCTTTGAGTGTTGTGGGGTGTTTGGAGTTGTAGAAGCTTGGTAATAGCTCATGGTGCTCCTGCAGTACTCACGGCAGTCGTGCTGCTGGTGGTAGTAACAGTGGTGGCGGCCATGGTAACAGCTCAGTGGGCTCCTGCAGTACTCACGGCTGTCATGGAGGTGGTGGTAGTAACAGTGGTGGCCGTGGTAACAGCTCAGTGGGCTCCTGCAGTACTCACGGCAGTCGTGTTGCTGGTGGTGGTAACAGTGGTGGCCGTGGTAACAGCTCAGTGGGCTCCTGCAGTACTCACGGCAGGCATGTTGCTGGTGGTAGTAACAGTGGTGGCGGCCGTGGTAACAGCTCGGTGGTGCTCCTGCAGTACTCACAGCAGTCGTGCTGCTGGTGGTAGTAACAGTGGTGGGGGTGGTAACAGCTCAGTGGTGCTCCTGCAGTACTCACGGCAGTCATGGAGGTGGGGGTAGTAACAGCAGTGGTGGTGGTTGTAACAGCTCAGTGGGCTCCTGCAGTACTCACGGCAGTCATGGAGGTGGGGGTAGTAACAGCGGTGGTGGTGGTTGTAACAGCTCAGTGGGCTCCTGCAGTACTCATGGCAGTCGTGTTGCTGGTGGTAGTAACAGTGGTGGCAGCCGTGGTAATGCAGCAGTGGTGGTCATTGCAGTAGCAGCAGCAGTCACTGTGGCGGTGGCATTCGGTGGGTGCCCTCCCCAGGAGATATGTCATGGCTCAGCCACCACTAGGCCCCTTCCTCCCTCACCCCATGAGTCTGGGACCAGTGTCCACTGGCGCCTCCTCATGGCGGACAGCCAATATCCACTGGCTAAGGGTAATCGCTGTGAAATCAGCGCCGCCGTCCCAGCTGACACGCCAGCTCCCGGGCGCTGGGTCAGTGGTTAAAAGCAAAAGGTCAGCGCTGCCTCTTGGTGGCACTTTAATCGGATTCGGCCTCTCCCGGCTTCCGCCACCGCCCTTGTCAGGGCCTGAGCCTCCTTACAGAAGGAAGGAGGAGATGACATCATTCACAGTTAATTGTCTTGTTTGTCCGCTGGCTCCGCGGTTGTTTTAATAAAGGGCAGAGGTGGATAAAGGCTACATTTGCATCCTGGAAGGGAAGGCTGACAAGGGTCTCCTGCTCATGACATTTATTGTTTGCAAATGAGATAACCTAATAACCGCAGAGCCAGCTCCCTGCCGAAGCTGCGCCAGAGCACCCACCCTGCCTTCCTCCGTGCGGGCCAGGCAGGAGCAGGGACAGGCCAGGCCACGCGAGGGTGGTGTCCTCTGATGGCCACCTGCGGTGACGTGTCTCAGTCCCTGTCCTGCAACACCCACCTGCGGACTGGCCTCACAGTAGGAAGCAGACAATGCCTTTTGAGCCACGCTCAGGCTGGAACCGGCATCTCCCCTTGCCCAGGAGAAAGCCGAGGTTCAGAGAGGTCACGTTGCCTACCAGTGCCACACAGCTGAAAGCAAACAGCAGCTCAGCCCTCTCAGGCTTTTTCCTTCGCTATTTGGCAAAACCGATCTCCACGCTTTTACCCATATGAATTCACACTCTCCTGTTAAAATTATTATTGTGTGGAGTCCTCGCCCATCCTGTCTCTAGCTGCCTCTGGGGACCCAGTTCTGGTTGTCAGAACTTCTAAGGAAACTTTTAAGAAATCCCTTGAGCTGCAGACTAATCTCCAGAAGCAAACTGGGATCTGGCAAAGGACAATCGTTTAGTTAGTAAATATACTCACACGCAAGGGCTCTCAAAGCATTGGTATTAAGCTGCGTTTAATAGCACATTGCACAGATGACTTTTTTTGGAAAAAAAGATATTATTTTTACCTGTCTAGGGCCAGGGGCTTCCTCTGAGATGCACGGCCTGCCCTATGCCCACCCCGGAACTTCCCTCTGTCACAACCCAGGACTCTGTGTACACAGAACTGCCACTCAGTCTGGGTCCAGGAATACAGCACAATCCAAATAAATGTTGGATGGATGGGTGGATGGATGGATGGATGGATGAATAGGTGGATGGATGGATGATGGATGGTTGGATGGATGGAAAGGGTGGATGGATGGATGATGGATGGATGGATGGATGGATGGGATGGATGATGGATGGAGGGTGGGTGGATGGATGGATGGATGATGGATGGATGGAAAGCGTGGGTGGATGGATGGGTGGATGATGGATGGATGGATGGAAAGGGTGGATGGATGAACGGATGGGTGGATGGAAAGGGTGGATGGATGGACGGATGGGTGGATGGATGAATAGGTGGATGGATGGATGATGGATAGATGGATGGATGGATGATGGATAGATGGATGGATGATGGATGGATGGATAGAAAGGGTGGGTGGATGATGGATGGATGGATGAATAGGTGGATGGGTGGATGATGGATGGATGGATGGATGGAAAGGGTGGGTGGATGATGGATGGATGATGGGTGGATGGATGGATGGATGGAAAGGGTGGGTGGATGGATGGGTGGATGATGGATGGATGGATGGATGGATGGATGGAAAGGGTGGATGGATGGACGGATGGGTGGATGGATGAATAGGTGGATGGATGGATGATGGATAGATGGATGGATGGATGATGGATGGATGGATAGAAAGGGTGGGTGGATGATGGATGGATGGATTGGTGAATGGACAGATGAAGTACCATTCTTGGTGCTACCTGCAGTGTCAGGTAGGGGCCACTCTGAACAGACAGTGGCTGCCAACTACCATGAAGTATGACCTTCCTTGCTCCCATGCAGCCCACTGGGGGTGGGCAAGGCTGCCTGGGTGGTTTAGGCCATGCAACCCCTGAGCCCATTGCAAGGAGGTGAGTGCCACAGTGCTAGGCTCAGGGCAACACTGGGGTCAACCTCAATGCCAGCTACAATGGCTATGCTTTAGGGCCATTCTGAGCAACCCAGATGTTCCAGCATCTCCAACTTACAGGCCCCACTGTCCTTCAGTCACCAGGTTGGCCTCTGTGCCACCTGGCTGTCCAGGTGTTAGGAGGCTCTTTCTGGTGGAACAAGCATCTTTAGCCCCTCCTATGCCCCCAGCCCCTGCCAGACCGCCTGGGAAGCCTCAGGAGCTGCCGCAGGTCCCCCAAGCCCAGACTGCCCAGGTTGCAGACCCTGCAGCCCTCTGTGGCCCACACAGACCAATTCCATGCAAATCATAGCCTGGGGTACTCACACGGACATGTCCACTCCTAGAAGACCCAAAAGCTCAGCCAGGTCCAGACCAGGAGTGGTTAAAGCACTTAGCAGAAGTTCCTTAAAGCTCAGAGTTACCAGCAGAGGCAAAAGCAGAGGCAGGGGTCGGGGGAGAAGGCAGCCAGGGCACCTCCCCTCCTGGGGCTGTGACTCCACCTGCTCCCTGATCCCAGGCCTCCGGCCCTAAGGTCTTGGGGGCCTGGATTGAGGAAAGGACCAATCACCCCACAAGGGCAAGGCCAGGAGAAAGGGTGGTCCAAGCAGAAGCTTCACCCAGCCCTGAGTGGTGACAGGAGGGAGCACAGGCAGGTCAGAGGCTATGGAAGAGCTGAGCCGGGACCATCCCTGGTCCCCAGGAGCCACCACTCAACCTCACCCACTGTGAGGAGGAGAATATTCACCCATCATCCATCCATCCGCCCGCCCATACTTTCACCCACCCATCCATCCATTTACCCATCTGCCCACCTAGCCATCATCCATCCATCCATCCATTAATCCATCTACTCATCCATCTGTGTATCCAGCCACCTATCCATTGTCCATCCCTCCATCCATCCATTAATCCATCTACTCATCCATCTGTGTATCCAGCCACCTATCCATTGTCCATCCATCCATCCATCCATTAATCCATCTATTCATTCATCTATGTATCCATCCACCTATCCATTATCCATCCATCCTTCCATCCATTCACAGGGCTGCCCATATACGGGACTCCACGCAAACCGCCACAGCCTCCCTGCCCCCTCTCCTCTTCCTGGAGGCTCCCCAAGTGAGAGCTCTCCTTTGACTCTGCAAGGCGGACAGAGCCTAGCATCTCCTGTGCATGGCAGTGGCCTGAGCAAGAGGGTATGTGGGACTGCATGGGGGCTGTGACAGCTCAGCTTGCCCACCCTGCAGATGGGTGCTCTTCTCCTGTGGCCACTGAAGGCACAGCAGATGCAGGGCTAGGGGAGAGGCTCCCAACCCCATGAGGCTGAAAGTCAAGTTGGGATCAGAGAGAAAACCCAGGGACAAGACCAAGCCCTTCTGAAAGCTGCATCTAGTAGCCCCTGCCCAGCTGTGCCTCAGTTTCCAGTTCCTCCTCGGGCCTCTCCAACTGGGTAAAGAAGTCTGGTGACTCATCACTGCATGCCAGTACCCAACACATGTGTCATCGCCCCTGCGGCCCTGGCTGAGGCCTCTGCTGGGTGGCCAGCCCTGGACACGCAGCAGCTGGGGACACACACCTGCTGTTCCCGGCTTGGCCACCTGGGTCCCTGCACCTGCCTCAAAGCACCAAGTTCTGGAGATTTTGTCCTGAGCCTGGGAAATGGGTGTGTTCTATCCACAGGCGCAAAGTGGAAACAGCACGCTTCTGAAAAGTTCCAGGGCTAAGGAGCTGCCGAGTCGTTCTTCATCACCCAGGGGTCAGGTCCTCACCACAGCCACCACCCAATGGCTGCCCCAGCCTCTGGCCAGGAGCCCTGTCTGCCAAGCCAAGTAAGAGGCAGGACGCGGTGACGCGACGTCTCCTTGGAAAGGCTCCCGCTTCCCCTGGAGCAGGGGCTGCACGTTAATTCACTCAGGGCTGGGGATTAGTCATCGGGCAAATAAGATTAAATGCCCTTGAAATGGAGTTAAAATGACGTCAAACAGCAGAATATCATTTTCCTAACAGCCCTGCAAGACGCCTCCCGCTTTAACCCCTTCTTGGCCACGTCTCAGGCCCCAAGAGTGAACTTCAAGTTTGGGAGACGGGCCTTCAGGTCCCTCTGTGCTCCCGAACCCACTCAGGGCCATCGAGGAATCAACGCCTAGGCTGGTCCCTGTGGACACCCTCTCGGGGCCTTCTGAGTCCTTTAAACGTCAGATGGACCCTTGGGCCCCAAGCCACAGCCCCAGACCCTGCACAGGGTGAGGGCCTGGCAGAGAAGCTCCTCGGGGACCTCAGCCTGGCCTGGGGCCCCGGGAACAGGGGAGGAAGCCGAGGAGGTTCCTGGTCTCTCCCCGGCTCCCCCTGCCCTCCTGGGGACCCCGCAGGCCCTCAGCTGCTCGTTCGCCGCTGTCTGCAGCTCGGGGGTCCCACGACTTCGTCTCCAGTTGCAGGAATCCTCTTTCCATCTTAGAAGAGTAGAGAGGAATGATGAGGCTGGGCCAGAGCCCCAGTGAGGCTTGGGCAGCGGGCACCAGGGCTGGGAACAGCCCCTCTGCCTTATGGCTGCCCACACAAATCCCTCATTCCCATCCGGGGTCCGGAGCCCCCCTTAGAAGCCAGAAAGAGTGAGCCCCACCTGGCCCACTTCGGCAGCACACCCCAGCCAGGGAAAGGGGTAGGACTGTCTGTACCACCCGTGCCCCTGCCCAGGTCCCCACCCAGGACAGCGTCTTTGCAGACATCCATGGCGGGCTCCCAGCCAGGGAACATGCCTCTTCAGGAGGCCCTGGCTGTTAGCACACCAAGGCGACCCTCAAATTGGCTGGAAATCTTCCTCAATCATTAGCCTTAGCCCTGATCGTCATTTCTCATTTTCACTGAACGTCACTTGTCAGAGAGCGTGGGCCGAGAGCTGCCCATTCATCACACAGGGAGGCCCCAGCCAAGCACACGCACCGCCCGGCCAGGCTCAGGCTCAGATCAATATAGGCTGTGTTCAGGCCATCAATAGCTGTAAATACATTTACGAGACCAGTCGGGACGGCCTCCTGCCCGGCCACCGTCGGGAGCTACTGGGCGCAGGGCACGAGTGGGGCAGATGGTGGGCACCATGCCCCATCCCTGGGGTCCAGCCTTGCTGGGGCTCATCCACCCTGGCTCTCCCTTGGGCGGTCATCCTTGCTGTGCTGGGCCTGGCTCTGCCCTGTGCTGGGACTCCAGAAATGAGCCGTGATGACAGAGGCCTGGGAAGGGCCCTCTGTGCCCCTCCTTGCCGTTCCCACCTTGAGCAACCGGCCTCAGCTCCCCTTCTCCTCAGTTGGGGCAGCCTCCATGGCAGCTTGCCCGGCTCTAGGGGTGGTGAGTTATCTCAATTCCAGGTGGAGATAAGCCCAGCCCAGCATCCTCGGGCCAAGGATAGCTCTCCCCCTACCCGCACTGTGCCCAGGAAGTTGGCACTGATGCCCTCCAGACACTTCTCCCGGGCTGGCATCCTGTATCCTTCTGGGCCACCACCCATCGGAGGGCCCCCCACCAACTAGGGCCACTCTTGCTCAGAATCCAGCTCAAGAACTGGGCATTTCCCCCATACCCATCCCAGCCACTGGGCAGGGCAGGGAAGTGGGGCCTTACCCCATCAGTCCGGACTCCGCCCTCGGCTGGGACGATCCTTGGCTCCGGTGAGGACCCCGCTGTCTGTCACCCACTCAGGGCTCTCCAGAGACTGGGAATCAACAGGCCTTGGAGACAGAGAGAGTTAGTGCAACGAATCAGCTCATACGTGGTGGAGGCTGAGTCCCCCGACGCACAGTAAGTCAGGAAGCTGCAGCCTGGGAGAGCTGATGGTGGCAAATCAGGCCCGATGCCAGCAGGCTGGAGACCCGGGAAGAGCCAATGCTCCAGCTCACGTGTGAAGGCAGGCAGAGGCCACAGCCGGCTCACTTTCTGCTAAAAGAATGGAGATGACGCACTGGCTTATTTTTCAAGAGGAAAAGCCGGCAGCAGCCCCTGCATCCCGCCTGCTCCTTCCAGCCCTCGGGAACCGATTCCACAGCTCTGGGCCAGAGCCTTCCCCTCCACACCAGGACAAGCCAGGCAGCCTGGGTGGGAGTGGGAGCAGGTGAAAGGCACCCGTGGGCTCCTGGGAGTTGAAGCAAGAATATCTCGGTCTCTTTCCATAAGGAAACCTAAAAAGAGCACAGAACATCTTAAAAATGGAAGCCAAATATTTATTAAATGTTTTACAATCCATCAGAAATCACAGATGCTGGGACGAACAAAACCCTCTTTCAGGAAGAGGCAGTGAGACGCGGGGAGCGTGTCTGAGGGACTGCTCTAAGCCCTATGGCCGACACCTCTGTTCCCACACACCCCCGTCCCACACGTCCCCAACAGAGCCCCCCAGCAAGACCCCTTCCAAGGCAGGTCTGAGAACCCAGAAACGCGGTCTCTCTAAGCTGGTCCCTGTTGTGGGCACCTAGAGCAGACGACCATGGAAATGGTGCCATGTGCTGCACACCCCTCCAAACACCCGCCCTGGGGCCCATCGGGCCCTGCCCCCAACACCAGGGAGACAAAACGCTGGTAGCAGGGCTGGCCCAGGGCTTTTGCATCACAAAGCAACCATGGGATGACCAGCTCGGGGCTCTGGATACTGGAGGACAGAGAGGCCATGGGGAAGGGGAGGCTGCAGAGAGTGGGCAGGCACTCCCAGGCCCTGGCCCAAGGCCTCAGCCCAGGATGTCAGCACTTTCTGTTCACAGTGGGATGGTCACTGGGCGAGGGCGAGACCCAGACGTGTGCCTTCTGGCCAGTCCCTCAAGTAAGAAGCTTCCAGAACCAAGCACAGATCTAACTCTAAATCGGCAGGAGTAAGGGTGGCCCATCTTGGTTTCCAATGAGCTCTCTTGGTGAGGGCTGTGCCAGGAGGCACTGCAGGGCCTGGCCCCCCGCAGGAGCCCGAAGGCCCTTGGTGGCTTCTGTTTCTGCCAAAGTGCCCTCCCCCTACCTTCCTCTCACCTGCCCGCCTCTCCCACTCCCACTGACACCCTCACTCCCTCCCCCACCCACAGCCGGGTGCCCTTCCTTCTCTTCCTTCCTGGGCGTCTTCTCCAAGACCCATCACCCACAGGGTTCTGTCCAAGGCCACAGAGCCAAGCAGCAGCAAGAGCCCCGCTGACGGGGTGGGAGGGCAGGTAGGGGTGGGAGGGCTGGCAGAGGTGGGGAGGGCAGGCAGTGGCTGGAGGGCAGGCAGAGGTGGGGAGGGCAGGCAGAAGTGGGGAGGGCAGGCAGAGGTGGGAGGGCAGGCAGGGGCGGGGAGGGCAGGCAGAGGCGGGGAGGGCAGGCAGAGGCGGGAGGGCAGGCAGAGGTGGGGAGGGCAGGAAGAGGCGGGGAGGGCAGGCAGAGGTGGGGAGGGCAGGCAGGGGTGGGAGGTCAGGCAGTGGCGGGAGGGCAGGCAGTGGCGGGAGGGCTGGCAGAGGCGGGGAGGGCTGGCTCTGCCATCCACACCGTAATGCATATTTGTCCCGGACACACACGGTGTCCACCACAGTGCCGGGAACGCAGCCAGCTCACAGGCATGCTGGTGGCCATTACTGCACGATTTATTGGCCATAATTGATCAAGTGCTTCCTGCACCCTGGACCCCGTCCAGATAGACAGGTGCTGCCCTCCCAGCAAGCAGGGCTCTTTAGACAGAGGAGGAGCTGACAGGAGGGGGACTGCTCAGGCAGGATCTCGACATGCTGTCACCACCCTAGTGCCCTGAAGCTGCCCCAGGGGCCAGCAGCAAGGCCTGGAGGGTGCCGGGCCAAGGTGGGAGAATGGTGGGACCTCCAGCTGGACTTCCCCGCAGCAGGCCACGCAGGCAGCTGGGAGCAGCTTCCCACAAAGCCTGCATGTGTAATGAAGCCAAGCGTCCGGAGCTGTTTGCAAAGGCCCTGGGTAAACACCGATCGGTAATGAAAAGAACAGCGATATTAGGAAGACAGAGGAGGCTGGTGGCATTCGGGAAAGAAGGGGTGTTTGCACAGCCTGGAGTGAGCAAATGCCCCAAGGACAGTTATCAGCCTGGGTAACAGCACAGGGAAGGGGCAGCGGAGTCCTGAAACCTGACACACAGGCCTGGCTTCTGCAGGTGGGGCTCTAGGTCTACAGCTCTCTGGGACATGGCATGGCACCATCTTCTGCAGGGTCCTCGCTGCCACTGTGGTCCTTGCTGTCCCCTGACCCTTTCACACTTGGAGGCAGGGTGGAGGGGGCAGACAGGTAGGCATGGCAGGGAGGGACCCACACAGACCCCTCCACCTGCCGCCATGCAAGGGCCCTCCTCCCTGTGCCTGCTGGTGCCAAAGACAGGAGCCCTCCCAGCTGAACAGAGGACAGATGTCACAGCTGGGGACCTTTGGGTCACCTGCCCCTGTCTGCACCCGGGTAAGCCCTTCTCCACAGCCCTAGGTCCCTGGGGTCATGGGGAGGCCTCCACAGCTGTGGTCTTCCACATAAGCAGAAGCCCCAAGGCCATGTTTCACCTGAGAAGCAGGAACAGGGACAGATCACAGGGAGCGGGGGCTGTGGCACAGGGGACATCAGCATGGCGATGCCACTCCTGGGGGCTTGCCAGGCCCTGGTGGCACACAGCCCTGAAACCTTCAAAGCCTGCTGACCTCGAGGAGCCCCAGCCCCACTGCATGCTGGTGGCTGTCCAGATGTCACCACCCTGAACGCTAGACTCGGCCTGGGGGAGCACAAGCTCCTGCTCTGGTCCCTGGCCACCTACACTGAGAACACAGGAATCACTAGGAAGAGATGGGCACTGGGTAGACAAAGGAGCAAAGGTCAAAGTGGCAATTCCTAAAACAGGGGCAAAGGACATGAGGCACAGGCACGCGAAGTCGCCTGCAGCCAGACACGCTCCACCGGTGAGAAGCCGTTTCTTACCAAGCGGGCCATGGGGGAGAAAGACTCAAAAATGGGAGTCTCAAATGCTGCCCAGGGTTGGGGGTTGGGCATGGGAGGAGAGGGGCAAGAGGGCAAGTGGCCACCGTCCCTGGGGACAGTGTGTAGGCCAGTGTGTCATGTGCCCCAAATGTGCCACTCCAGAGGGCTGACTTGGAAGGCATTGTCCGACCAGAAATGATGGAGCAGAGCCCCCGAGGAGGGACGGACAGAAGGTGAGAAGATCTGGGTGGGCACAGCCCCGGCAGAATTCCCAGGACGGGCAAAGGCCTGCGGCAGGAATGAGCCTGGGCCATCAGGGAGAGTGGAAGCACCTTGAATGGCCACACAGGAACCAGCCATCACCGCCAGTGGTGCAGCCGAATAACGGAACCCTAGAAAGCACTCGGCGTTGCTGGGACGGGTATTGATTCACAGTGAAAAACCCTCCAGGTTTACAAAGCAGGACACGTAGCACAGCCTCAACCTGTAAGAACAAAATGGTCTAATAACGTGAACACGTGCACAGACAGCACCCGAGAGCCTCTGACATCGACAGGCTTACGGGAGGCGACACGGGAGATACGATAATCACAGAGACTGTTTCTCTCTGTGCACAGGATTGTTGAATTTTATGTGAGTAGTGTTGCATCATACAACACAGCTCTCAGATGCATTTCCTGTGAAAACGGTTTCGGCTTCTCTTAGGAGCACTGCCATCAGGCACATCATACCTGCTGGCTCATGACCCTCGCTGATGACACGTGGGAGGGTTTCCAGGGTGCAGGTGCCTTGGTAGCTGGGCTCATCACACGTGCATGCATAGGCACACGCACACAGTCATATACGCATGCACACTCATTCATATACATGTACACATGCACAGACATGCACACATGCACAACGCACACATTAACATACTGCACACGCGCACACACATGCACACATTCACACACATAGGCATATGTGGTTGTGAATGAATAACAGAGGGGAGACAGCCATGCCACTCACACTTTAATGTGCATTTGTCCCTGACACATGCACACATACACTCACACATGCACACATGCACACGTACACAAACATGCACACGTGCACACAATTCACACATGCACACAGCATACATATGCATAAATGCATGCACAGACACGCACACATTCACACATATGTACACATGCAGACAGCACATATACACACATGCACACAGACATGCACACATGCACACCCTTGCACATATTTGCACACATACACATGCACATATTCATTCACACACACATGCACACAGTCACACACATGCATGCATTCACACACATGCACACATTCACACATACACACACATTCACACACCCACACATTCACATACACATGCACGCATTCACACACATGCTTTCATACACATGCACACATTCACATGCACACACATGCACACGTTCACATGCACACACACATATGCACGCATTCACATGCACACGCATGCACACACATGCACACATTCACATGCACACATGCACACACGTGCTAACATTCACATGCACACATTCACATGCACACACGCACACATGCACGCATTCACATGCACATAGGCATACTCATGCCCTTTCTCCAGCATCAGTGCCCTGAGGCCCGCATCGCCTCCCGTCTGCCCTCTGAAACACAGCTGGGCAGGACTCACCTGAGCCTCTGAGGTCCCTGAGCTCCCAGGGGCCTCCCCTCTGTGTTGCAGAGGTGACTCCTGGGAGAGGCGATATGGCTGCATCACCTGTGTTTGGCATCTGGCCAGGGCCCAGCACAGTCCACAGAGCAGGGCTGGCATCACAGGGGCTCTCCACAGAGGATGGCGCCTGAGGAGCTGGGACCATGGGGTGGGAGAGACACCCGCTCCCCCGTGCCCACCCCTTCAGTCTGGCAGAACTGGAAAGCTCCAGCCACCTGCCTGGCCTGGGGCCCTGACACACTGGGAGCCTGGGAGGTGGCCTGAGGGGGAAAGCTGGAGATGGCCAGGCTGCTGAGCCAGTGCCCCCAGTAGGGTCTCACTTCTGAATTCATTCCTTTTATCCCCACCCCTCATAATGTATTCCAGTTTGGCTTTTTAATTATGCAAATGATTTGTGAATAAATTTGTATCATGAAATTTCAAACGTGGCCAGCCACAGTGGCTCACGCCTGTAATCCCAGCACTTTGGGAGGCCGAGGCATGTAGATCACCTGAGGTTGGGAGTTTGAG